TTATTATTAAAAAATTTTTTTAAACATTTTTTAATAAGTAAATATTTTTTTAAAATAAAAAATTAATTATTTGTAAACATATAATTTTAAGGAGAATAAAAATCGCCACAAAGAAAATAATCGAAAGAACTGCCTTGTGGTGTACCTGCTAATTTACGAATCTACGGACGAAATCCGTGTGACTATATACAGCGATAAAGGTGATTCTAACCTTTTTGTCACAAAGGAAGGCAAAAACCGAAGAACCATTCAAAATATTAGGGTGGATGGATCTGGAAACACAAAGAAAAGCCCAAAAATGTATTTTAGTTTTAAATGTCTAAATGAATTAGTGCCTCCATATTTATCGGATTATTTTATTAGAAATCGCACTATCAACACTTACAAGACAAGACAAGACAAGACAAAGCAACGACAGTTAACGCTAGGCCGAAAAAACACTTAGACTTTCAGGTGCAGTTATTTACCCACATCAATAAAAGAAGCTATGCCGCTTTCCCTTTTTAAGAACTTTCTTAGATTTCATTTTAGCCATTAGTTGTTTCTTATTTTAAAATATAATTCTTAGGTAGCACTTCGATAGCTCTCTTATTTTTCTTGACCTGAAACAAATTATGAAGATTTTTAATTTCCCTTTCCGGCAGTTTTTAAAATCCTTGTTCATAATTTTAAAGTAATTTTTTACTTCTTAAATTTTCATCATGTAGTCATAATTTACGCAGGGCCCCTGTTGATACCAGCCAACGGCTGATAAGGCTACCCTGCCTAAATAAAGTTGACTTGACTTGACTTGTCTGTAGATGAAATCCTAGCGTGTGACCATTTAGATGAAAGCCAATCTAACTTTTAAATGTATATATATAAAAGAACCATTCAAGTCACCCAAAACAATATAGCTTTTAAGAGCTAGATGGCTTCCTTGGAAAAGAGATGGCAAATGACTAGTTCGAGAGACTTTAACGAGCCTGTGGAACACTGAGCCTTTACCCTGCGAACCCAAGACTTTCTACACTGTTTCTAAATCTTTGCATTCAGCTACAAAGAGTCTTAAAGACTCGATTCCAAACCGAGTCTTTCTCCAACTCTCAGACTTAAAGAGGAGCACGAGTCAACTCTCACAGTTCTTCGTAACTAGCCCATTAAATTTCGAAAAATTTAGAAAGGGCTAATGGGCTTCTTTCTCATTAATACAGTTCAAAAGCGGTTTCTTAGATACCGAGGCAAGCATCAAAAATTGTTCATTTGATTTATTTAACGCGTTGGCAAACTCGATGTTGACTTTGACGTGGTTTTATTTCAACGAATTTACTTTTAATTTAACTGGTGATAGTTACTGCTTCTTTAAATGCTCGGAAATAAACTATTTCGAAAAAGCTACCTCGCAAAGACTTTTGCTGCTGGACCATCGTAGCTTAATCAAAAACAAAACAGAAACAGCGGTCATAAACATTGTAAACTTATTACACATACCAAATGGGACTCATTCACTCATCGCAAGCTGATAGTCAAAATATATCTCATTTGCACGTCAACTTTATCGCTGCTACCGAATTTGCTCCTCTTCTTCCGTCGATGGCTTTAGAAGACTTGTGCATCAAAATGCCGGGTTTCCCTCAAGGGATTATCACCTACCACCACAATGTCTGAATTGCCAGTTAAAACAGAAACAGAGACGAGCCGGACAGTCTGTACCCATGGTTCCTAAAAAAGGATATAATTGTCCTATTACTTTCCTTAGGTCAGTATTCAACGAAACCAAATTACTGACTACATTAGACTGCGAGCGGTCGTCCTTCATTCCTCAGAGCCACGCTCGGCGAGCGGAAAAAACTATGTCCTCGCGGCTTCGCCGCTCGCCCCTCACGCATGCTCTCGGTCTACTATGATTCAAGAGTAAAATAAGAGACTGCTCGCAGTCTATGACCGCGTCAAAACCACCGGACGTAATATCAAGGGGAATCATTTTGAAACTTTAGCGTCGGGCAAATCTGTTTATCTATGGGAGTGCCGGCCCCTTTCCCCGGTGACTAAGCTCTACAGTATCACATCCTATTTTGGGATTTAACTCCAAACGAAAAGTCATCACGCTTTTTTGTACATTTCTTTGCTGTCACTACACGATTACCACGGGGAGGTGCCTAAATCGGAGCTTTACAATAATTAGAATTAGAAGGGATTCAGGAGCGACTATCAGTCTGATCAGGATCTTGGTCTGATAATAACTAAAGATGTGCATCACTGCTAGAAGGATACGCACTTTCAGTCATTTCAGGAGACCTGGGGTACTTATCCTTTATATGGGAAAATCGCAAATTCCCGATGGAAGATCAAATGGTACGTGCCATTCCGTTTGGGAAGCTTTGGAAAATATGGGCTCAGGCCGGAGTCCATGATGGGCTGCGATTAGAGGCGATGCAACTTTTTTACTCTTTTAGCCTGTCGCAGCTGATTTGTATACTGATTTTGTAGCGGGTAGTTCTCCCACCACGTCAAATTTTGCAATAGTTTTGTGTTTATGCACAAGACTTCCACCCGGGTGTTAATGGCAAGCACCCCAGAATTTCGATTTTTTCCGGCTGATTCCCTCGGATCCGGACTCCTCCCCCACCCCCCAGCTCCGCTCTAATAGTATGCTTTCGCTTATGCGTTTGCAGGGTTTAATAATAAAAAAAAAAATTGCAAAAAGCCTTACGACCTGCTGTGTTGCCACTCCGTCCATTCGTGTGTAACCTCACTACACTCAAGAAAAGGAACTGTGATCAACGAATGTGGAAAAGATGTGGAAAAACTGAACTACTGAAGAGTTATGGCAGGTTTAGCTTTCCCTCCCTTCTCAAAAAGAATATTAACCCTTTGAGTCCCAAGAGTGACCAACATCAATTTTCTCCCAACAACATCAATACACAATCAAGAGAAAAGGTTATGAGAATTGATGAAATAATCACCTGAGGGAAAATGCTTTGATCTTTTATCAAATTCTCTCAACTTATTTTTTATAGAAATGTATAGAAATCAGTTTGGAGAAATCATATGTGAATATTGGGGCTTAGAGGGTTAAGAAACGGCTAATCGAAGCTAAGTTAGGTCTAGGAGAAATGGGCAGACCTCTAGAAAATTCTTGGTCACGCCCGTGCTTGCGAAAAAGAGAAAACTTAATAATTTTTTTTTAATGACCTTCTTTACTACAGTTGAACCCCAGTTTATGGACACCTCGTTATTACGGATAGTTTTCTTTGTCCCTGGAGAAAGCCTTTTAATCCATTTACTCTAAATTTAACCCGCTTAATACAGACATCCGTTAAATATTGCCCAATGGACAGATTCTCATGGAAATTCAACCTCGCTAATGCGGAAATTTCATTATTAACTGTGTGTTGTAACGAACCTCTCCTATTTGAAGATAAAAACCTTCAGTAGACAGCATGTCGATATTCCCAGCGCAACAGTACACCGAATAGAATGATTTGAAGACGTCAATTTCAGACTATATCAAGCATGGGCTAGTTACGCAGAGAACTGTTTTGACAAAGTAATATAGATGAGCGATTTTTGAGCGTTTCCGTGGATTTAGTCCGCGGAATGACGGATTTTTGAAAGTCGGGAGATGTTTTTAAAATTGGACGATTCTTATGTCCTCTTTAATTTGTTTATTAGTATTTTGTTCAAATAAAAAGTGTTTTTCCCGTTAATACGGACACTTTCTACGGCCCTTTCACTTCCCATATTAACCCTTTTTTCGCCCCTATTCATTTACTACAGAAGTAGTGAGGAGAAGTTGATAAAATATCAAACCAAAAACATCTTGTGTGATCACGTCCTTAATTCTCATGACCACTCTGTTTTACAAAGCATTGCTATTACAAGGAGAAATTTGATACTGATCACTCTTAGGGTTTAAAGGGTTTAACGGGGTTTGACGGTAATATATTTTTCTTTACGCACTCATTATTCCCAATACAGGCTGAGGTCAGTTCATTTCATTACATAGGGGTTGCACTGCAAACGTCAAACATGTTAAGAATTTCCGTGTTGGGAAGCACTCTATCGATGATTTGCGAGTGATACATTCTTCGTTTACTACTTTCTTGGCCAAAAATGATCTATTATTGTCGATGGGTGCAAATTCTTTAAACGTGATAACCACATGTCTTCTTGTGACTTTAATAAGGGATTAACAGGTTAAGAGTATTTTTATATATATAGAAGAGTCTGTTAAATACACTTTTCGTTAAAACGACAGAAGACAATTTCCCGGGGTCAATGATGCCTCTGCTAGTATATATAGTATATGTAGTACAGTTAATATAGTATATATAGTACAGTTAAAAAAAAAAAAAAAAAAAACTCGGAAATTCGTCGATCTACTGTATAGTGCAGGCTTGTGTATAGTGTAAGCTTACATTACCAAGCCATTGTGCGTTAACTACGATTGTTTTTTGTCAGATATTGTATTATGAAACAGTATTTTTAACCATATTTCAAAACGCAACAATTTATTGTCAATAAAACTTTGGTCGATTGCAGACATCTGCTTTGAGAGTGACTAGCAATTCGATCAAAAAATTTGTTATCGCTTCATCAAACTGTCAACAGAGGGCAAAATGCGAACGAGAAAGGAAAAAATCGTCAAAATGCCATTAGATTATTCTGATCTATGACGCCCAAAACGGAACTGACTAAGATTAAGATAATTACTTTTCAGTTTAATTCACAGATGAATGCGTCAGTGCGTGCTCAAGACCAATCAAGGATTTAGCGTAATGATGAGTCTTAATATTTCATATATTGTGCGGTGAAATCGAAACTGCCGCGATTCGCCTTCGCGCTCCAAGCCACTTGTCACCGATATTCGCCTCGCTGGTGAAGGAAAACGATTTTCTCGCGTGATGTGGCTGCGATTATTGAGGCGAAGATCGCGAGGATGTGGCCTTTTTCTTGGGTTGAAAATCTGCGTAATAATGAGCATGTTTATTCTCCATCACCTACTGTACAACGAGGGCAAGCTTGCTTCATCGATACCAGGATTATTACCATTGGAAAATATTCAACTAAGAACTCACATCGAAACAATTAATTACCGATCTTTAACTAAAAATACACAGACTTCATCGGCCCTACTTAACAATGGTACTTTTATAATCTCCGAGCCTAATGAATTTGAAGCTGAAGAAAGAGATGCGAGTATAAAGTTTCTCTTCGTTTTACATCATTATGAGCAGCTTTCGAAGACGACAGAAAACTTACTTCAACTTGCTGCGGTCGCCAAGCAAATCGAACGCGTGATCGTTGAACCATTTGTTCGAGATTCTAGAATGTGTGGTTTACCCTACGGATGGTCTGGAAAACTAAGAAGTGAACAACGTAGATTTCACCCACTTTCTTTGTATTTTGATGTAAAATTCATGAACAATTTGCTGAAGAAATATCACATCGCGCCCATGGTAAAATTAGAAACTTTTAAACGCCAGTGTCGCTTAAGCGTGACCAACACCACGATCATACATTTTCTGTACAGTGATCAATCGGAGAAGGAAATGAAAAAGTGGTACAAGATTTCGGCTCTTGAATATCAAGACATTAAAAAACAGGCAAAATCTTCTGGTTGGTGTGAATGTAAGTTTATCGAACACGCTCTCAGTGTGTCGAATCGAATTGGGGAACTTCGTATTGGAAGGCAAATCTGCGTTGATGCTGAGAAAGTCAGAAGCCTTGAGCTGTTCGAAAAGGAAATTACGAAAGGAGATAAATGCGTCGTCGTAATTCATTGGCGTGGAATCGGAAAAGATAGAACACATTTTAAACCGGAAGTTGAAGTGGATAACCGGAAATTGCTGCAGTCGTTACGGTCTAGCGAACGCGTTGTGGAGAAAGCTACGAAGATCAGAGATTCAATCGGTGGTGAGTATATATCTATTCACATTCGATCTGAAAGACAGATTCAGTGGTATGATGTCGAACGACTAGCGCAGTGCGTCAGAACTTCGGTTAAAAAAGTTGAAAGTCTCAAGCAAAAATATAATAAAACAAGGGTTTTTCTTTCGTCAGACTTCACCCGATTTGGATCGGACACTCTACATTCGTTCACGGCACAAAACACTTCCTTAATGAACAAATTAAAACAGATTAAGAGATTTTTGTACAAGGCTTTAAAACCTTTAAAGTACAATCCAAAGTCGGACGATCCTTTAGATATGGACAGCGGCGTTGTGGCCCTCACAGAGATGAATGTGCTTACAGGGGGGTCACACTTAGTGACCATTGGCTCTGGAAATTTCCAGCAATGGATTGTTGATGGGTTCGTGGAGAGGAAGGCTGGCACCGAACAGCAGAACAACTGGACCATAACAAGAATTTGCAATAAAGAAGACAAAGTGAACGACTACAAACCTAGATGAGTGATGTTGCCTTGGTAACTAATGATTGACACATGTTGATCCATTTGGTCTTTTTGTGTTGCTGATCTTTTCATCCATCAGTGACTAGGGGATAGGAAAACCATGAGTGCTGTTGCAGCATCAGCAAATTCATGCCAGGTGCTGTAGCCATCACGTGCCAGCAAAAGACAAAACCATCGAATTGCTGATAAGCATTAGACTAAAAATACATCATCTCAAGTATGCACAAGGAAAGCTGGAAAATCAAAAAAATAAAACAGGTCACAGGACTTGAGAAAAGTCCTGGTCAGTTCTCTGGGGCAACTAAACCTTCTTAGCCTGCATAACAGGCACTGGTTATTTTTTTTAAAGGTCGCGCAAGGGGGGAGGAGGCCTCCTCTTCTTTCCTCCCCTTGCGCGTCCTCTAGATTTCATCTTTTGCCCTAAAAAAAAACTGGTGCCTGCTATGCAGGCTAGAAGCTTCTTTGTTTGCCAGTTTGAACAAAATCTGTGAAATTTATGACGGAACAGTAATAGAGTAATATCAGTAGAGTGTAATATCTTGTAGAGTGCATAAAATGCAAACATTGTGTTTTTTGGTGTATTATCTACTTGAAAAAAAGATGTCTAAGATTTTCCTGTGGTTTCAAAGGCAGTTTAAGAATATTATTTAAAGAACAAAGGGATCCTTTGGTGCAAATAAGTGTCTACACTATAAATAAAAATTTACAGAATATAATATAGTCAGAGGTATGGTAACTAGGGCAAAGGGCGTGTATAACCCTGTGAGTCCCAAGATTGCCAACAACAATCTTAACAATGTGGATGCACAGGTTATTAAAATTATTAACAAAATGATCACCCAAGGGAGAAATGTTTTGATCTTTAAAAAATTCTCTCGACAATTTTTTAAGGAAAGGTATGAATATCATTCTAGAGAATGTGTGTTCAGTATTGGGGGTTGAAGGGTTGAAGTGCCAGCCATCTCAAAGAGCCTTGTTTGGCTTTTTATCTTAGTACCAAGTAATGAATGCAATTTCAGTAACACAACAAGAAATGAAAGAACTAGTCACTTCTGTAAAGAACTTTCTTGTAAAGTAATTCTTACCTATATGCGCATACTGTTAGATTTGTTTAGAAATGTCAGGAATTACCATATTTTACGAGAATGCAGGCTGCAGATTAGTCATTTGTCTGAACTTTTTCCATTGTTTTTAAGCCTAAAAACAAAAAAAAAACTCCAGCAGGCAAATAAGACAGCTCATGAATCCATGTGAAGACGGGATAAGCATAGGACTCACAAACACACACAAGGCTTATGGATTCTCTGTTCTGTATCATGTTTATGCTAAAAAACAACGCATTCTCTGTTCTTCATTATGTCATAAATGTTACCTTACAAACTTATGTCACATAACTTCGAGATTCATTCTGCCTTGGAACTCTTGCATGCAGCTTTTTTAGGCTGCCGCCTTGCAGCCTCACGTCTTCGTCAGGCTGCTTGTTGGCAATGAAACCAAATACAGGCATAACAACTTAAATTGATCACAGATGCCTTCTCATCCTTCTCAAGTCACACATTCCTGAGAGAGATGATATCGTCTCTGTCAGGTATGTGTGAGTCCAGGAGATGGCTGAAATTCAGGCTAAATAAACTGCATCTGAGATTCCAATTTGTCCAGTATCACATGGTTTTGAGTATAATTACTTTTCAGTTTAATTCACAGATGAATGCGTCAGTGCGTGCTCAAGACCAATCAAGGATTTAGCGTAATGATGAGTCTTAATATTTCATATATTGTGCGGTGAAATCGAAACTGCCGCGATTCGCCTTCGCGCTCCAAGCCACTTGTCACCGATATTCGCCTCGCTGGTGAAGGAAAACGATTTTCTCGCGTGATGTGGCTGCGATTATTGAGGCGAAGATCGCGAGGATGTGGCCTTTTTCTTGGGTTGAAAATCTGCGTAATAATGAGCATGTTTATTCTCCATCACCTACTGTACAACGAGGGCAAGCTTGCTTCATCGATACCAGGATTATTACCATTGGAAAATATTCAACTAAGAACTCACATCGAAACAATTAATTACCGATCTTTAACTAAAAATACACAGACTTCATCGGCCCTACTTAACAATGGTACTTTTATAATCTCCGAGCCTAATGAATTTGAAGCTGAAGAAAGAGATGCGAGTATAAAGTTTCTCTTCGTTTTACATCATTATGAGCAGCTTTCGAAGACGACAGAAAACTTACTTCAACTTGCTGCGGTCGCCAAGCAAATCGAACGCGTGATCGTTGAACCATTTGTTCGAGATTCTAGAATGTGTGGTTTACCCTACGGATGGTCTGGAAAACTAAGAAGTGAACAACGTAGATTTCACCCACTTTCTTTGTATTTTGATGTAAAATTCATGAACAATTTGCTGAAGAAATATCACATCGCGCCCATGGTAAAATTAGAAACTTTTAAACGCCAGTGTCGCTTAAGCGTGACCAACACCACGATCATACATTTTCTGTACAGTGATCAATCGGAGAAGGAAATGAAAAAGTGGTACAAGATTTCGGCTCTTGAATATCAAGACATTAAAAAACAGGCAAAATCTTCTGGTTGGTGTGAATGTAAGTTTATCGAACACGCTCTCAGTGTGTCGAATCGAATTGGGGAACTTCGTATTGGAAGGCAAATCTGCGTTGATGCTGAGAAAGTCAGAAGCCTTGAGCTGTTCGAAAAGGAAATTACGAAAGGAGATAAATGCGTCGTCGTAATTCATTGGCGTGGAATCGGAAAAGATAGAACACATTTTAAACCGGAAGTTGAAGTGGATAACCGGAAATTGCTGCAGTCGTTACGGTCTAGCGAACGCGTTGTGGAGAAAGCTACGAAGATCAGAGATTCAATCGGTGGTGAGTATATATCTATTCACATTCGATCTGAAAGACAGATTCAGTGGTATGATGTCGAACGACTAGCGCAGTGCGTCAGAACTTCGGTTAAAAAAGTTGAAAGTCTCAAGCAAAAATATAATAAAACAAGGGTTTTTCTTTCGTCAGACTTCACCCGATTTGGATCGGACACTCTACATTCGTTCACGGCACAAAACACTTCCTTAATGAACAAATTAAAACAGATTAAGAGATTTTTGTACAAGGCTTTAAAACCTTTAAAGTACAATCCAAAGTCGGACGATCCTTTAGATATGGACAGCGGCGTTGTGGCCCTCACAGAGATGAATGTGCTTACAGGGGGGTCACACTTAGTGACCATTGGCTCTGGAAATTTCCAGCAATGGATTGTTGATGGGTTCGTGGAGAGGAAGGCTGGCACCGAACAGCAGAACAACTGGACCATAACAAGAATTTGCAATAAAGAAGACAAAGTGAACGACTACAAACCTAGATGAGTGATGTTGCCTTGGTAACTAATGATTGACACATGTTGATCCATTTGGTCTTTTTGTGTTGCTGATCTTTTCATCCATCAGTGACTAGGGGATAGGAAAACCATGAGTGCTGTTGCAGCATCAGCAAATTCATGCCAGGTGCTGTAGCCATCACGTGCCAGCAAAAGACAAAACCATCGAATTGCTGATAAGCATTAGACTAAAAATACATCATCTCAAGTATGCACAAGGAAAGCTGGAAAATCAAAAAAATAAAACAGGTCACAGGACTTGAGAAAAGTCCTGGTCAGTTCTCTGGGGCAACTAAACCTTCTTAGCCTGCATAACAGGCACTGGTTATTTTTTTTAAAGGTCGCGCAAGGGGGGAGGAGGCCTCCTCTTCTTTCCTCCCCTTGCGCGTCCTCTAGATTTCATCTTTTGCCCTAAAAAAAAACTGGTGCCTGCTATGCAGGCTAGAAGCTTCTTTGTTTGCCAGTTTGAACAAAATCTGTGAAATTTATGACGGAACAGTAATAGAGTAATATCAGTAGAGTGTAATATCTTGTAGAGTGCATAAAATGCAAACATTGTGTTTTTTGGTGTATTATCTACTTGAAAAAAAGATGTCTAAGATTTTCCTGTGGTTTCAAAGGCAGTTTAAGAATATTATTTAAAGAACAAAGGGATCCTTTGGTGCAAATAAGTGTCTACACTATAAATAAAAATTTACAGAATATAATATAGTCAGAGGTATGGTAACTAGGGCAAAGGGCGTGTATAACCCTGTGAGTCCCAAGATTGCCAACAACAATCTTAACAATGTGGATGCACAGGTTATTAAAATTATTAACAAAATGATCACCCAAGGGAGAAATGTTTTGATCTTTAAAAAATTCTCTCGACAATTTTTTAAGGAAAGGTATGAATATCATTCTAGAGAATGTGTGTTCAGTATTGGGGGTTGAAGGGTTGAAGTGCCAGCCATCTCAAAGAGCCTTGTTTGGCTTTTTATCTTAGTACCAAGTAATGAATGCAATTTCAGTAACACAACAAGAAATGAAAGAACTAGTCACTTCTGTAAAGAACTTTCTTGTAAAGTAATTCTTACCTATATGCGCATACTGTTAGATTTGTTTAGAAATGTCAGGAATTACCATATTTTACGAGAATGCAGGCTGCAGATTAGTCATTTGTCTGAACTTTTTCCATTGTTTTTAAGCCTAAAAACAAAAAAAAAACTCCAGCAGGCAAATAAGACAGCTCATGAATCCATGTGAAGACGGGATAAGCATAGGACTCACAAACACACACAAGGCTTATGGATTCTCTGTTCTGTATCATGTTTATGCTAAAAAACAACGCATTCTCTGTTCTTCATTATGTCATAAATGTTACCTTACAAACTTATGTCACATAACTTCGAGATTCATTCTGCCTTGGAACTCTTGCATGCAGCTTTTTTAGGCTGCCGCCTTGCAGCCTCACGTCTTCGTCAGGCTGCTTGTTGGCAATGAAACCAAATACAGGCATAACAACTTAAATTGATCACAGATGCCTTCTCATCCTTCTCAAGTCACACATTCCTGAGAGAGATGATATCGTCTCTGTCAGGTATGTGTGAGTCCAGGAGATGGCTGAAATTCAGGCTAAATAAACTGCATCTGAGATTCCAATTTGTCCAGTATCACATGGTTTTGAGGCAATGGAGAATGTGTGTGATATATCATGTGGAAAAAAGAAGTGATCAGCAATCACAGATTAATTAATAATGAGTACAGGCTGCATTTCAACTGCCTTCTCGTCCTTCTCAAGTCACACGTTCCCTAGAGAGATGATGTCATCTCTTTTAGGTGTGTGTGAGTCAAGGAGATGGCTGAAATTCACGCTAAATAAACTGCATTGCCATATGAGATACCTGCAGCCAGTTCGAACCGCCATGGCGTGTGTGTTGCACTGCTCCTGTCATAGCATTCAATTTTGACACGTTTAGAAATTCTACGCCATCTTTCCTTCTCCTTAGCAGGGTCCTGCGAACGAATTAAGTACAAGTACAGCCCGAAAAATAGAATTTTAGCCACTAGTCTTTAGTACCTCTTGACATTTTAATATCCTGTCAACACTTGAAGGGACGAGTGGGAGACTGGATACGACTTAGCGTTTGAACCGCGAAGAGACTGAGAACCAGTTTCAAACAAAAAAATGGCGGCAGCTTGGGAGGTACGTGCCCGATAAGTAGGGCTTTTGAAATTTAAATGGATTTTAAATTACCACTTTTGTATATTGCTTCATTAATGATTTTACATTTGCATATTCATATCGCTGTATTTATATATGACAAACATAGTTCTTTAAATTCCTGTGGAAAGGCATATGTTGGGCTGAACTAGTATAAACGTCAATCGCGCGCCCGGTTCCAAAAGCTATATAAGTTAACACTTTCACGTTCTCTTTTTCGTGGAATCGCGGTCTTAATAATGTCAAATAATCGAATCAGATGGCATATAGTTCTGGATATTGTCTGTCTCGTTCTGTTAGGAATAGCGGACTTGCTAATTTTCGCAATCCCCATCAAACCGAGCCAACGAGGATTCTTTTGCGATGACAACAGTTTGAAAAAGCCTTTCCAAGAGGAGACTGTTTCTACTTGGGCAACAATTGCCGTTGGATTTTCTGTGTCAATTCCTTCCGTAAGTACCTTCCTTTAAAAAAAAGCTTAACTACGATAAGCTCCCAGGATTAATACATCTGTTTACTTTGGAAAACTTTATTGACTTTAGAAACAAACCGACCGAGCAGACGACCTAGTAAATCAACATGCGATCAAACGGCTAAGTACGTCAACTTTGTATATGTCGACATTTTAGGAAAGTAAATAAATGATAACAAGTTCAACACCTTTTCTTCGCTTTACTTTATGGTTCTGTCAATGTTTACTTTGGCACCTCCGTTGTTCAAGTACAAGCGATTATCTATTTACTAAGCTCTTCAGCTGTTTTTTGAAAGATTATTAGTAACCAATTCAGATCTATTTTACACCAGCTTTACATAACTTTCATCGCATTGATGATACTATTAAACGAATTTTCTTTTTGTGCGATCCGTTTCAAACTTAATAAACTTCGTAAATTTTAGTCGAACATTTTCATTCTCAAGATCGCAAGGGTAATTGAATCGCACAAAATATATTGGCAACATGTGTTTTTCCTGGGAGTAAGGAATTTCCTGTGTGTAATTTTGAATTGCGTTTAAGCTTTGATTGAGTACAAAGGAATGTTTACCCAAAGCTCTTATTAAGAATTAAGCTGTTATCTTTGGAATACTAATGAAAATAAC